TCTTATTCTCAGTCATTTCCTTGTGTCATATAAAGCCTTGAGCTAGCTAATGAAAGACTGGCTATGGAAAGCACACGGCAGGAAAAAAAAATGATAGCCACCTAAGAATAGACAACTCCAAAACCCCTGACCTTAAATGTTCTTGGTTTTATAAGTCAGGAGAAACAGCCACTTCTCACACTGTCACCCTAATTTTAAAACCTCACTTCTCATGGGATCAGGAAAAAAGTATGTGAGTTATTTCATTTCTGGTGTTCTCTTGACTGTCTCTGTCCCTAGTCCTCTCAACATACTGGGAATGTCAAGAATTCCTGCCTTATTCTCCTCAAACTCTCAGTGTTGCCATTCAGATTTTGTGAAAGAGAGAATCGTATTGGCTTAATGTGAGCTTAATACTATTGGTGATTCCAAAGCTGTGGCTTTACAATGAAAGGTGCATTGCAAGATGCAGAACTTCCCTGGTGACGGTATCGGTGGAGGTCTTCGTGAGACCAGTCCCAAATCTCCAGCTTCTCCTTTGAGCTTTCTGGTTTTTATTAATTAGAATTTTCCCCTCTCATGCTTCCATGTCCCTCACCCCATGAATTTGTGTGCAAGCATGCAGGTGTGTGTGCCTGTGTGTGCCTGTGTGTTTGTGTGTTACAGAGTGCCTGTGCAAGTCAGGAGATAAAATGTGGGACTGACTTCCCTCTTTGGTCACTGTGCATCCCAGGGGATAAAATAATCCTTACCTGCTGGGTCATTCCAGCAGCTCACCCTCATTTCTTGCTGCGCAGTTTTTCCACTCTGACTGGTACTGTTCCTTGCCTAATCTTATAAAGCCGTTCTCTTGTGTGTGAAGCCACACAGCACAGAGGTGAGATGCCTTGGCCTAGCCAAGAAACTGCAAAGTTCAGAGGTGTCTTGGGATATTTTATATCATACGCAAGTATTTTAAAGCAGGTTCACTGAGGTCCCGACTTGGCATTTTGTGGGTTACGTTTCTCATTCACAACGCTATGAATAAACGGTTACTACTGTGACCACGGACTTTTAGTGGCTACTAGACTAGTGTCCACAGCATACCCAGCTCGTACTTAATGATTGAATTGAGAATTAAAATGATTCTGTTTTGCTGTTGCTTTGTTTTCAAAGAGAGTCTTATGTTTCCCAAGGTGATGTCAGCACACTCCCTAACTCAAGGTGGTCCTGAGCTTCTCATCCTCCTGTTTTCACCTCCCAAGAGCCTGTGCTAGAAACATGCACTGCTGTGCTCAGGATTATATACTTCTGGGTTCAACCCTAGGACTTCAGCATGGAATGCAACTGCTCTATCAGCTGTGTTTCATCCACAGCCCTTACAAAACTCCCTCAGGGTATATTACATTACTGTTCCTCATGAATAGATAAAGGTGAGGGTTTTATCAATTAAATAATTGGAAGATCCCATGCCTACTAAATAATTGAATCACTCTATTATGCTAACAACTTATCCAAGAACCTGGGCATTAAAAGGAAAACACATTTTAATGTAAACATATTTTAAGAATGTATATTTACTTTGATTTCGATTCTATGACTGTATATTTGTGAATATCTACATACATATGTAAATGTGATATATCTAGTAATATTTAAAAAAATTTTGACCTATGTGTGTACCGGTTTTGAGATTATAATTGATGCTGCTGTTATTGATTGGTGGTGGTTCCAATAGCTACAAATGGTTCTGGAGCTATAAACAGCGTAGAGCTTTAGTGCCCTTACAGGCTCTCCTTCATGTGAGAAGATGAAATAAAATTTAAATTATATACTGAATTTTTCTGTAGAGAACTCATACAGCTGGTGAATGACCATATTCAAATAAAACAGATGGTGATATATTTGTGATTCATCTAACATGAATATAGGAGTTTTTTTTTCTATTCCACAAGTAACATTTTGTTATATTTGGCAAAATTATATATGGAATGTTGTAATTTGAAATACGTAAGAAAGGGTAGGGAAAAAGTTACACTCTGTACATATTGGAAGTATCATGAACAGGTCTCTGATCTTTACTTTCTGAGTATAAACATACAGTTTTTGCAAACTAGTAGAATTTATGCAGTTAATTGATGATGTATTTATAACTAATCCAAACAATGTGTTATTTTAATTCCAGTTAATTACATTGTACTTTAATAAAAGTCAGAATGCACTTGTATTAAATGATATTTTGTATAAGGACGCAGATTGATATTGAGGAACTGCAGTAATTTCACCACAAAACAACAACAACAGAATCAATGAAGTTTTATTAAAGGTTGCTTGAGGCCCCACATGCAATTAGCTAAGTTGCAAACTAACTAGCTCAACTGTAGTCAGCTGATTCACCAATTGCGTGGGCTGCAGGCGTTTATGTTATACTTCCACGTCTCTGTAGATGCCACTTGATTGTACAGTTCGTTCCAAGCATCAAAATCTGATCTGGTTGTTGGAGAAGCTAGATACAAGAATAAGTTTTCTTTGACTTACTGCAATTAGGTCTGCTGGACTTAGCCGGTGTAGAAAATGTTTCTTCTTAACACGTAAACACCTAAAGGTCTTTTTAAGTGGCTAACCTCACTCCTTATAAAACATAGCATTATAGACATATATGTATGTCTCTCTCTCTCTCTCTCTCTCTCTCTCTATATATATATATAATATGCATGTGTACAACATAATTTACAATTAATGAAACAACACAATTATTTTACTTAGAAGTAATGTACTTTGAGTACAAATTAGATTATGCAGGTATACATATAGAAGTTTAGTTTGTTAGGAGTTAAAGTGAGTTTTTCAGGATTTTTTTAGGAATTTAATTTTTTGTGATAAACTTCCTTTTTCTTTTACTTTTTGGATAATATAATTTTCTTTTTTTAAAATAAATTTATTCATATATTCATTTTACATCCAGATCATAGCTTCCTCCTTTCTTTCCTCACAGTCCTACCCTCTCATCCTCTTCCTACATTTTCCCTCCTTTTATTATTTTCTTTATTGGTTTGAATTTATTTTTATTTTTAAAATTCACCGTATGTCCTTGTTGAAACCCCATTCCTCCTTCCCTCCCAGTGAGACCTCCCTCTCTACTCTATTTCGTTTTCCTCAGAAAAGGTGAGCGCCCTTTTCCATCCAGCCAGCTCATCAACGGCTGAGCATATTCTCCTCCCTGCGGAGCTCCATGAGATCAACAGACAAATGGGTTGTTTCCAGGTTCTCTCTATTATGCATTCTGGCTATAAAGCTGCTACAAACATGGTTGAGCAAATATTCTTGTTAGTATACTTGAGCACATTTTGGATATATGCCTAGGAGTGGTATAGCTCGGTCTTGGGGTAACACTCAACCCAGGAGTCCCTCAGCTGAGGAATGGATATAGAAAATTGTGATACGTTTACACCATGGAATACGACTCAGCAATTAAAAACAAGGAAATCATGAAATTTACAGGCAAATGGTGGGATCTAGAAAAGATCATCCCGAGTGAGGTATCCCAGAAGCAGAAAGACACACGTGGTATATACTCACTTATAAGTGGATACTAGAACTATAAGACAGAATGAGCATACTAAAATCTGTACACCTAAAGAAGCTAAGCAAGAAGAAGGACCCTGGGTAAGAGGCTCAATCCTCATTCAGAAAGGCAAGTGGGATAGACATTGGAAGAGGGAGAAAACAAGGAACAGGACAGGATTCTACCACAGAGGGTCTCTGAAAGACTCTACCCAGCAGGGTATTGAAGCAGATGCTGAGACTCATAACCAAACTCGGGCAGAGAACAGGGAATCTTATGAAAGAAGAGGGAGACAGAAAGACCTGGAGGGGATTGGAGCTCCACAAGAAGAGCACTAGGTCCAAAAATCTGGGCACAGGGGTCTTTTCTGAGACCAATACTTCAACCAAGGATCATGCATGGAGATAACCTAGAACCCCTGCACAGATGTATCCCATGGCAGCTCAGTCTCCAAATGGTTTCCCCAGTAATGGGAACAGGGGCTGTTTCTGACATCAACTCAGTGGCTTGCTCTTTGATAACCTTCCCCTGAGGGGGGAATGGCTTTACTCCCTGAGGAAAAAGATAGTGCAGCCAGTCTTGATGAGACCTGATAGGCTAGGGTCAGATTGAAGGGAAGGAAGACTGCCCCTATCAGTGGACTTTTGGGATGGGCAAGGGAAGAGAAGGGGGAGGGAGGGTGGGATTGGGAGTAGATGAGAGAGGGGCTACAGCTGGGATAAAAAGTTAACATTTTTAATTAATAAAAAAATTAAATAATAAAAAAATTAAAATTTATAAAAGTAGATCAACAGAGCCACTGACCAGGGCAGGAGGGGCTTGCTGAGGCTGAAGCATCAACAAAGGACCATGTAGGAACTGGATCTATGCCCCCCACAAAGATGTAGCAGATGAGCAGCTTAGGCCTTGTGTGGGTCCTCAAGTAAGGGAACTGGGGACTGCACTGGACATGACTAACTTGCTAGCCTTTTGATGAAGTTCCCTCTCTCATTTTTCATTACAGTTTAACTTGTAGATTTTGAGGTAAGCCATGACATCATTAAATGAGAAGTAACTTTTCCCTGTTTTTTTTAATCTCAAAATTTTACCTACTCATTTACCTAAAACAAACAAATAAATAAAACACCAGACAGCACATATCTTAGTGCTTGAGTTTTATTATTTTTAAAGCTGTCTTATGTGCTTTCCTACCCAACAACTGTTTATTTGAATGCAAATACCGCAAAATAAAAATTCTACCAACTTCTAAAGCTATTCACCTGACATGAATAAGAGGCCTGAGCCAACAAGTCAAGACATTGGGTCACTAATGTCTTGGGTCACACAGCAGAGGATAAAATCTAGAAGCTCAAACTTACTGCATCTAATTTTCATTTCCTCCAAATTGAATTTTAGAAGTGTTAATATAATAAATGTGAACTGTGCATGAGCCTGTGTTGAACAGTGTGATAATTTGTGGTTTCTGTTTTTATTGTAGGGATTATTACCACAGAGTAATTCCATAACATGTGGCTTCCTGAGCTGCCCTAAAAGGTAAGCTTCCCTCAAGGGATGGTTTGCTTATCTGTACTTCATTTTGCTTAGTTTCTATGGAAACATAGAGAACCAGCCCTTCCCAAGTTATGCCATGAACTCCTTTCACTTGCTTTTATAAATGTTGTAGTTAATTAAATTAGTGAAGTTACATCAATTACTGTGCAGCACAGACCATTCCCATTTCTCTGGAAAAGACACTTGAGGTAGACTTTCTGGGAGGCAAATTACTTTGGCAGTTAAAAAAGAAACTAACATTTTACATTGTAGAATATATATATGGAATAAAGTAAATTTCTTTGCTCTTTTCTCCACAGTTTTATGAAACAATATGCCTTCAGCAACAAAATAAAATATTAAGTCCTAAAAATGCTTATGTCTGGAAGGATAAATTTTATATGATAAAACATATACAATAAAACTCAATGTTTACAGTGGTTACATTTTTCTTTGATGAGAAGTATATCTAAAGTAGCAAAATATTTTCAGTTCTTGAAGGTGATGTAAGGAGAAAACAAAACTATAGTTCTACAGGTTACGTGTCCAAATTAAAGTGTGTTTCTTATACCATGGTGTCTAACAGGACCTTAAGGAGTCCTTCCTTTCACATAGCCTCCTGATATGTATGGGAACCTGCTGAATGCAGAATTGCTTGACCAGCCCACTTTTCTGATATGCTTTAAATTTTTAATTTCAACAAGAAAAAGTTAAATTATTTACCAACGGTTTAGTTAGGGTTCCTATTGTTGTGAAGAGACACCGATGACCCTGTCAACTCTTATAAAGAAGATTTAATTAAGGCTGGCTTAAAGTAGAGAGATATAGCCCATTATTGTCATGGCAGCAAACATGGCAACATTCAGGCAGACAGTGCCAGAGAAGAGGCTGAGACTTCTATATCATAATACAGAGGCAGCAGGAGAGACTGAGCCACACAAGCCTAGCTTGAGCATCTGAGTTCTTAAAGCCAGCCCTCAAGGAAACACACTTCCTTCAAAGGCCACACCTACTCCAGCAAGGCTACACCTCCAAATTGTGCCATTCTCTATGAGCCAAGCATTCAAACACATGAATCAATGGGTGTCATTTCTGTTCAAACCTCCACACCAACATTTAGAAATAAGGGTTTTTTCATATTAAAGGACAATTTCCAAATTATCTGAAAAGAAATAAGACTGCCTTTGTGCTTTATGTACAGGCTTGGAGAACAAGACTGAGTCATCACTCCCACTCTCTACTTCTGCCTGCCTACCAACTAGTTTTTATTCTTTGCTCTCTGTATGCTTTTTACCTAACACCTGAGTTCAACATCCTCATTATACAGAGAATTACAGATAGATGGAGTATGAATTCTTAGCACATATTCTAAGTATCTATGGTGAAACCAAGGCCATTACTGTAATTGCTGAATAAACTTTAGTTGTCCATTAGCTAAACGCAAAGTCATCTTAATCCTTTGTTCACAGGGCTGCATTTAATTCTTGCTCCAATATTTGAGTAAATAGCCACAACTCTGACACCAGTCTTCCAATCTTACAAAGCCTTGATAATAGTGTTGTTCACAGACTTGGATTATGTCAGTTTCTTTCACTAATATTGAAGATAAAGGCTAGCCTAAATCTATGGAAATGGAAGACGCTCACATTCACTTCCCTAGACTGGTACAGATAAGTTCATCTTCCATCAGCAACTGAAATCCAACGTGAAATGAACTGCTAACTATGTTACAGTATAGCTGTACCTTGACTATAATATAAATAAAAAGCCTCACTCAGAGGTCAGCTAATATATGGTTTCACGTGTATTAAATATATAGAGAAGTAAGAATTATAAAGACATTTATTTAGTGGTGTCTAGGAAACCAGGGAACTTAGAAGGGCCTGGCTTGGGTTTCAATTTGATACTAATGAAAATATTGTGGATTAGATGGAAGTAATCATTACACAACCTTGTAGATACACTACAGGTCAACCAGATATCTCTCAATGGTGAGTTGTATGGTGGATTAATCATATCAGTAAGGTAATATGAAAATGTGTTTCAGGTAGACAAACTTCATCTTCAGCTATCATGATACAGGAGATATATAATAAAAATCAGCAGACTCCTTCTTCCAAATCAGTGCAGACCAGCTTCCTCAGTATTCTGACCTGCCTGTCCTCCAAGGTCAAAGAGCAAATCTAATTGCTGATGGGATCTGCGGTTTCATAGGAAGGTTAAGAGTGATTAAGTCAAAGAGAGACATGTTGATAGCAGCACCACTTGCTGCTTCTAGCCTCAGTTTCCTAAAATCTGTAAAATAAGATCAGCAACAGAGATGTTGTAGGTTTATGAAGCAGGAATGCCAAATACTTGCTGTGGTGCCAGGTCCTGTGTAATTGACACTTTTATAATTAGTGTTATTTGGTTGTAAATATTAAGCTATAACATTAGATTCTTGGCAGTTCATCTGATCCGCTGTCAGCTTTTCTTTTACTGGCATCTTGGCCAGAAAGAAAAGAATGGCTAGAATTTCTGTTAGCTCCTAATGAATTCAATCAGCCCCTGAGGGACTTTTGATATAGCAGAGAAATACTTAACAAGGAGCAGAATTTGTATTCACTCTATGTTTCTCTTCACAGCTGGCAGAAGCTTTTCTAGTAGAGGTAACATTACCTGTGCTGAGAGATGCATTAACATACCATGAGAGAAATGTTAGAACTCAGAAAACACATCCCCATGGCCTTGTGTTTCTTTGCTTATGCTGCTGGATACAATTTAGGCCTCTGCCAATAAAAAAAAAAAAAAAAAAAAAAAAAAAAAAAAAGGAGTCATCACTTGATGTGCACTTCACCTATCAGTTTTATTGTTTCTGATTTCTACTTTCAGTAACATTGTAAAGCGCTTTTATAAAAATCAATTTTGTCTTTTCTTTAGAAGTTCTGATTTTAAAAATCCTAATGTGATAACACAAAGGACTCTATTGAATCATACATACATTTTGATCTACATATTAAAATATTACAAATAATGTGCAGAAATTGTTCATCATAATCATGTAAAAAATGTCTGGACGGATTTTTGTCACTAGGTCCAGTTTCTGTTGTAAACCGTTCTTTAAGTATAATGGGAAAGATGGTGCTATGTTTCATTGAAAGAATATGAGGAAACTTGTTTTTTCTGTAGTGATCTTCAGGAAGCCAATCTACTAGAATCTCTAACAGGATTGATGGTGCCATGAGAAATAAAATAGCTATTGTCCTGAAGGGTTGAATTTTATATTTCTTGAAAGAAAGAACATATAAGTAAAATTAAAACAATGTGATTATGCTCTAAAAAAGCAATACAATGTAATAATAAACAGAGTTATAGTGGTATAGTTCTCTAAGCTGACCTCGCTCTTGATTTGAAAGTTACTGTAAGTGGGCAGTGGCCATCTATCAATATGTTGAATTGATCTTTTCTCATTATTGTGTGATTCATCACTTCTTAATGATTCAAACTTTTATAAAGATTTATTTAGCTTGTGTGTGTGTTTATTGGTACATGTGCAAGTGTGTGTGTGTGTGTGTGTGTGTGTGTGTGTGTATCCACACAGAGGCAGCAAAGGCTATCAGAACCCTAGAGCTACAATTACAGGCTTTTATTGAGGCCCTGCTCTTTAAGAGGGTACTGGGATCTGAATATGAGTCTGCTTGACTGAACATCATGACTTCAACTGCTGAACCATCTCTCTAGGCCCCAGTTTCTTCCTCACTTGTATTATATATATTATGGTGTTGACTTTATTTATCTATTTTTAACACAGTTTGACATTGATGTTTTATTTTGTTTGCAACATATAATAATTCATTCCATGAAGTTCTCTTTTAAATATCATGAAGCTGTATCTTTTTTTTTTATTCTTTAAAAAAAATGAAGTTGGTTGCCTTACTTTAATTTGTGAAAGTTGTGGTTATTCTTTCTTTGAGGAGTAGTTTTGTTTCTCCATGTGTCTGTGCTTTCTTTTGCAATAACTGAATATTTATTAAAATACTGTATTAGTGACTTTTCTGTTGCTGTGATGAACACAATATCCAAAAACAACTTAAAGAGTTTATTGTGGCTTACAATTCCAGAGGATCAATTATAGAAGAGATGCATGGCTGCAAGCAGCAAGGTTGTTGGCCACAGCAGGAAGCTAAGAGCTCACAATCAGGAGCACAAAGCAAGGAGAGAAAACCATAAATGGGTCAGCACATAAACAGTCAAATCCCTCTCTCCATCACCAGGCCTCTTCCCACCTGTGATATGTACTTTTTCCAGGAAGAGTCCACCTCCCCAAAGTTCACTAACAACCAAACAGCTCCACAAAAGGAGAACCAAGTGTTCAAATGCCAGAGACTAGGAGGGATACTTTTACTCAAGCCACCACAAACACTACCTGTATTATTTTGAATTTTTCTCATTGTTTCTAGTTTTAGTTGGTGTCTTCACTTGGGTTTCCGTTGCTGTGGTGAAATGCCAAAAGCAAGTGAGGAGGAAAGGGTTTGTTCTGCTTTCATGTCCATACTCAGTTCATTATCCAAGGATATCAGGACAGGGATTCAAATGGGGACAGAACCCAGAGGTAGGAACTGATAAAGCATTATCAGAGAGTTTTCCATCTTTTTGCTGCCAGAGAACTTGGGAGACTGCAAACTGAATTTGATCATTTCTTTCTGAAAGGAACTCATGACATCTTTGTTCAAATTTCATTAATAAGCTATAATATCATGACTCCTAAGAAAGCAAAAAACTTTCTAAACATATACCTGAAAATAAAGGAAGAGCATAGTATTTGTGAAACTGCTGAAACTGTTAAACTCTCACTTGTCTAAATCATTCTATTATTATTTTAGGGTTTTAGTTTTCAGAACTCCTTTTAAGTTCATAGGTTTTATTTCCACTTAAACCATTATCCATTCTTATTAAGGTTTTATTAATATCTTTTGTAGCTCTATATACTTAATTTCCTGTGAAGTTTATTAATCATTATTTTG